GTTGCATTGTGACATCTGACAAGAAGCGAGCGGTACATCAGGGATATATTAAATAATAAACTTTCAAGGAAGCTAATCCCACCTTCTGAATGCATCTCATGCCGATCTTCAGTTTTCGTATTCGTCATTTGAGTTCTGAGTGAGGTGGCTGTTGTCTTTGTCTCTAACAGCTGGCGGGTTGACGCAGGTTCTCTACCTTCCTCAATGAAAATATCTGCTTTCGATGAAACAGTGGAACAATCTGAGGAGAAAATATGAATAAGAGTTACTTGCTTCAAAATCAAAGATTGTTTACAACTTTTCGTCTTACTGTGATTATTAACGTTGGTTGACATAGATAGGCATGATCATCGACTTACTGACTTGCTTTTCGCATATATATCCTGGATCGTCATGATACGGTTTTTGACACTTTATGTTGTTGTACTCTCCATTTTGCAGCATCTCCACGCATTTTTCTATGTTAAGATATTTTGGTTCTCCTTTAATCCAACGCCATTTTTCATCAGAATTCTCGTTAACCCATGCTTTGCTTTTACTCAACCAGTACCACGTATTAGAACTGTTAGCACTTTCAAATAAACCAATGAACCAACGTGTTTTTTTTTCATTCTTGATCAAGTTCCAAACAAAGTGCCATTCTTTATCGGTTTCCATAGAGACAAGTGAACTACTGTTTTTGGCACAGTTTTCCTTGGCTTCCTCCCAGTCAGCTTTTTCCGTGTGGAAATCATACTTGGAGCAGGTCGAGCCTTCTGGTTAAAAAGCCGAGAGATTAAGAAGAAAAAATAAAAGCAAGGAGAAAAAGTATATATATATATACATATATATTTGTTTATTTTAAAATTACAATTACGTTTCATTCAATCATTAAAAGTAGCCATACAAAAGTGAACTGCAAAAACCCTCGGACACAAGAAAGGCTTGCATACCCACCAGGGTACAACAGGGATTGGGTGAACAAAACGAATTTTGATACAATGAAATATATGAAGTTCATATATTTGAACTGCGGTATTAGATACGTATGATGCACGATCCTCGCAGTAGATAGCGCTATTTAAGCAATAGCGAAAATCAGACCTGAAAAAAAAAGAGGCTGCCATCAGTACGGTATCGGAATCTGACACCTACGTCTACGTCACGGAAGGCGTCCGATAGCATTGCCGAGAACACCATGCAGAAGAGGGATGGAGCCAGTACGCAGCCCTGCTTCACGCCGTTGGTGACAGGAAAGGGCTTTGAACACTTGCGGTCATCCTGCACTCTAGCAGATATGCCGTCATGGACCTGTTGGACCATTGCAATGAACTTGGTGGGGCATCCAAACTTGGCCATGATCTTCCACAACTCCTCGCGGCAGATGGTGTCAAAGGCTTTAGTGAGATCCACGAAGGTGGTATAGAGACCAACATTGTGCTCCTGGAACTTCTCTTGTAGTTGGTGGGCTGCGAAGATCGTGTCGGTCGTGCCTCGGCCTGCGTGGAATCCGCACTGACTCTCAGGAAGGACATCGGGCTCTAGGTGTGCATTGAGGCGGTTCAGCATGACGCGAGCTAGAATCCTCCCAGCGATGGAGAGCAGGGAGATGCCGCGGTGGTTATCGCAGGAGTTCCTGGACCCTTTGTGTTTATAGAGGTGGATGATGAAGGCGTGTTTGAGCTCCTGTGGCAGCTTTTCCTGAGTCCATATGGTGGCGAAGAGGCTGGTGAGGCACTCGATTAGCGTTGGGCCGCCAGCAGCGTATATCTCCGCAGGAATGGAGTCAGCACCAGGTGCCTTGCCCCTAGAGAGTCGTTTGATTGCTTTTGTGACCCCTACCTCTGTGGGTGGGTCAGCCAGTGCGTTGTTGATTGGGACTTGCGGGAGACGATCGATGGCTTCCTAGTTGATGTTCGAGGTGCGGTTAAGGACAATGTGGAAGTGTTATGCCCAGCGCTCAAGGATCTTCCCTTTGTCTGATATCAGTGTCTTCCCAGCTGCGCTGTGGAGAGGGGGTGAACTGGATGTGGTGGTATCGTAGACGGCCTTGACGGCGATATAGAAGTTCTTTATGTCCTTTATATCAGCGTAACCCTGGATGGTGTCCGCTTGCCGGCTGTACCAGTCGTCCTGCATGTGACGGAGTTCTAACTGAACTGTCCTCTTAGCAGTTATAAGTTATAATAATGAACATTATGTTATAGGAAAAGTTCTTCTTTAAGTTCGGATAGGAGGAGTATCTCCCTAACCATAAACACTTAAGTTTTGCCTAAACGGTTTGGAGCATTTGTGCTCTCTATCGTAACACTTAGAAACAGTCTCCACTAGAGAGGGTTGAGACGCTTTAAATGAAGAAATAATTAAAATTTTTATGCTTCAATGTACTATTTTGGTTGAACTGAAATTTTGTTTTTCTTTGGGTAAAACAATTTTCGCAAGCTTTTGTCCGCGTACGCATTTGGAAAATGGATAGGCAATTACCCTCAAAGAATTTCCTAAGCAACTGTTTTCCTGTAAGTTTCGTATCCTTTAAAAATCAAATAAAGATCGTAGGTACGTTTAAGCTGTAATAACGAAGAATGGTGCTATTTTAAAAGTAAATGAAACAGCACAGGCATTCCTCGCCCCTTTATTGGCTCCCTCGCTTTGATTTTGGTCTTTTGTCTAATGCACTTGACAGGAACGATAGATAGGCTATGATACTCAAAGAAGTTCCCCAAGCAGCTTTTTCTTTTTTAAGTTTCGTATCCATTTAAATCGATGTGGTCTTCAATAGGTTTACGTCGTAATAACCAAGGATGGAGCCATAGTAAGCATAAATGAAACAGCACAAGCTTTGTAATTACTCGCCCGTTCATTGCAATTGGTTCCCTGAGCCACTTATTGAATTTACTTTAATTGATGCTACTCTATAGAGCACTTTATCCAATCACGCGTTTATAAGTCTGTTTATATTCGTCAAGAAAACTGGTACAAACTTCAGTTAAAAGAAATCTACAAATAACTTTATTTATGAAGAGGGTGGGTTGTTTGATATATATTGTGAGGCGTTTGCATTTCATGATCATAAATATGGATAAATGCCAAATTATATTTTTTTGAGAACTTCATCATTTGATAAACCATGATCTCTCTCGCTCTAATTTTAACATTATCGCCTAATTAACTCTGCGCTGGTTTTACCTGTATTAATATTAGTAGAGAGAGTGTGAGAATTTTTTTTTTTCTTGGCAAATATATAAAAAGCTTTCAAAGGAAAGCACTGAAACAGTCGGAGCAGAATCCCCGCGGAAAAAATATACCTACACTGTACATGTTTGCTGGCTTTCAGTTTATATTTAACAACCATGAATTCAAAGTTTGATAAAATATTTAGGAAGAAATGTGCCTACCATCAGTGACTCGATCTTCAGTGGTAGTAGTAACACCAAAAGCAAACAGCAAAAAAGTGCAGACAGCGGTCCTCATAATATCCCGTAGATTCCAATTCACTGTAGATGCGGTCGAAAATGGTCAGTGAGGTTGAAATCGAAATTTTATAA